TCATAGTGATGTTTACTAAATATGTATTTACTAATTGATGATGACTGTAGCATAGAAACCCTGGTGACGTAGTGGTTAAGTGCTACGGCTGCTAACCAAAAGGTCGGCAGTTCAGATCCACCATGCGCTCCTTGGATAGTTATTTGAACTATCCCACGGTTTGGAAACCCTGGTGGCATAGTGGTTAAGTGCTACAGCTGCTAACCAAAAGGTCTGCAGTTCTAATCCACCAGGCACTCCTTGGAAAATCTATGGGGCAGTTCTGCTCTGTCCTTTTGGGGTTGCTATGAGTCAGAATCGACTTGACGGAAACAGGTTTGGTTTTGATTTTTATAGCGTATCCTGATACTATAGTGTTTTTTAGCACATTCAGAACTACTCAGTATTTAAAAGTAAGATGTACCGTTTATTGATTCATTCAGTAGCTATTTCAGTGCCTTCTGTGTGCACAAGACATTTTGGCAGGTCCTGGGGAAACAATATTGAGGAAAACAGATGTCTAGGGTCTTAACCACTGCTTTCTCTAGAACACATTTTAGAGAGCATATCCTCTGGTTTAAGCGACCAGGAAGTTTATTTAGATTTTGGATCACTTGATTCCATAAAATGAAAGATTGCTCAGATAGCAAACCTTACACAGTCAATTTGATTATCCACATTAGTGAAAAGCAAAGAAGTTGCAGAATCACAATAAGTAGACTGTCATGTATCTAAGCTATGTGGAGAGTTGAGTTGCTCAGTGCCATCCCTACCCAGCCTTACACACTGCTGTACATGGCACCTGCAGGGCTAGTTCGTAGTGTGACCACATGTAGAAGAAGTGCTGTTTGATGTGTGCATACTGAATGTATGAATCTCGTATTAAGGTTGCATCGTCAGGAAACACAGTTTCAGTAGGATTTTAGATAAATTATATGATGGATCACTGGCTCTTAACAAAGATGAGATGTTATGTATATCCTTACAATTTTTGACTTTTTCATATAGGAAATTTCAAGCATATATGAAAGTAGAATCCATAACTTTTTAAGACAAAGACTTTGGAAAATTATGCACTTAGAACAGGCTGTCCCTGCCTGGCTGGTGTATCTGCTCACACCCTGGATAGAGGACCTAGTGGAGAAGTTTTAAGAAGCACAAACCATTATGCCTCGTTTTATATATTTCTCCTTAAGGTAGGAGTGACATCCATCAAGATCAGTGCACTTCTAAGCAATTATAATACATATGATACAGTCATCTGGTTCGGTGCTCCACAGCCAGGCTGAACAATAGCATCACCTGAAGAGCCTTTAAAATAATACTGATGTCTAGGTCCCAACTCCAGAGATTCTAGTTTAATTGTTCTGGAGTAAAGCTCAGGCATCAACTATCATTCAGAAACTCCAGAGATGATTCTGATGTGCAACAAGGGCTGAGTGTCCCCCAACTAGTCCAGTATAGTTTTGAATAGAAGTGATCCTGAGGGGAAAGCTTCAGCCTTTCCGCATTAAGTATGATGTCAGCTATGAGGTTTTCCTAGCTGCTCTTTGTTGGGTTAATGAAATTCCCCCGTTTCCATTTTGCGAGTTTTTAATCACGAATGGATTTTGTCAGCTGGTTTTTCTGTATCTTTTGAAGTGATCATGTAGTCCCTTTTTCTATTAATAGGTTTTTTACTACATTAGCTGATTTTCAGGTGTTGGACCAATATTGCATTTCTGGGATACATCCTCCTTGGTCATGGTATATGATCCCTTTTGTATGTTGTAGATTTAGTTTGCTAATATTTTGTTAATTTTTCTTCATGTATGTTTATGAGGGATATTATTTTGTGGTTTTCATTTCTTTTGATATCTTTGTTGTATCAGAGTAATACTAGCTCAGAGAATGAATGAGAAAGTGCTTCCCTCCTCTTCTATTTTCTGAAGGAGATTGTGTAAGGTTGGTAGTATGTCTTCCTTAAATATTTGACAGAATTCAGCAGTGAAGCCATTTGGGCCTGGGTTTTTCCTTGTGGGAGATTTTTAAAATTATTAATTCAATGTGTTTACTTCTTAGACTTCTGTTCAGGTTTTCTGTTTCTTCTTGAGTCAGTTTTCGCACCTTGCAACTTCTATGGAATTTATTCATTTCATGTAATTTGTCTAATTTGTTAGTATGAAGTTAATAATATTCCTTCTAATTTCTGTAGGGTCTGTGTGATGCTCCCTCTTTTTCCTGATTTTGGTAATTTGTATCTTATCTCCTTTTTTTCTTGGTCATTCTCATTAAAGGACTATCAATTTTGTTGCTCTCACAAAACCAACTTTCAGTTTCACTAATTTTCTCTATTGTTTTTCTGTTTACTGTCATTGCCTTTTGCTATGATCTTATGTCCTACCTTCTACTCTCTTTGGGTTTGAGTGCCTAGTCTTTTTCTAGCTTCTTGATGTAAAAGGTTAAATTACTGATTTTAGCTCTTCCTTTATGATAGAAGGTTTAAAGCTATAAATTTCCCTGGAAACAATGCTTTAGTCGAATCCCCTAAATTTTGATAAGTTGTGTTTTCATTTTCATTCAGTTCAAAATACTTGTTGTTGAATTTTAAAATTTTTATTTCTTAGCTTCTCAGGGATCGACTCTTGCTCCATAGCTTAATGGTCAGCCAACAAGTAGATCTGTGTGTGGGTTGGAGAGTGCATTGAAAGTTCAGCCAGTTCTTAAGTCGGCCCCAGCTTCTACTTTCTGCCAGGCCCTCTTGGGTTTCCCTGCACGTGGGTCAGTTTCCAGGTCTGCCTTGTGTGGAGAGCTTAAATCTCTGGCAGGTCTACAATGTGTCGCAAACAGGACCGTGACCTCAGGTCAGTGGGCTTCCCCCATTCCTTTCCCACTGAGCTTGCTACTTTTACTGATACTGCTGTGCAGGTTTTCAGGTCTCAGCACCAAATCAAGTGCACCCGCTCTGGGTTTTCATACTCAGCCTGTGCTGACGTAAAGATAGCCCCAGTCAAGAAGGCCACAGACTGACACTGGCCCCAGATTTTAGAAGAAATGCTTCTCAATTTGTTGTTTCACTTTGGACTTTTGAATTCCAGAGTCCTGAAATGGTTGTTTTCAACAACTTTCCTAGTTTTATCATATCTTTGGGGGAGAGGATTTGCTGACCTCTTCATGCCACCATAGGCAGAAGTCCTGCTGTAGTGTGACATTTTTAATCACACATTTTCTTAGGCTCACATCCTTTGGGCAGTCTTTGCAAACATCTTATCGCCACTCATCTTGCTCTAGCCTCTGTTCCTTCCTTAGGTATTTCTAAAGTTCCTAAAGCTCTTAATAGAATAAATGCTTTTCTTTTCTGAAATCTGGTCACTTTGTAGTTGATAGTGGTCCTTGTGACACTCACAGGACAGGTGTTTTTAGCCAGTGAAGCTCTTCATCTCTTGTGAACACTGATGACTGCACAGTGTTCAGTCATCTCCGTGGGGGAAGAAAGGCACTGCTACTTGTTGTGAGGTGCTGTGGTGTCATTTCTGACTCATAGTGACCCTGTGTGCCACAGAACAAAACACTGCCTGGTCCTGCACCATCCTCACAATCGTTGTTATGTTTGAGCCCACTGTTGGCAGCCGCTGTGTCAAGCCATCTTGTTGAGGGTCTTCCTCTGTTTCGCTGATCCTCTGCTTTACCAAGCATGATGTCCTTCTCCAGGGACTGGTCTCTCCTGATAACATGTCCAAAGTACATTAGACGAAGTGTACCCATCCTCGCTTCTCAGGAACATTCTGACTGTACTTCTTCCAAGACAGATTTGGTTGTTCTTCCGGCAGTCCATGGTGTGTTCAATATTCTTTGCCAACACCATAATTCAAAGGCAATTCTTACTCAGTCTTCTTTATTAATTGTCCATCTTTCGCCTGTGTATGAGGCAATTGAAAACACCGTGGCTTGGGTCAGGCTCACCTTAGTCCTCAAAGTGATGTCTTTGCTTTTGAAAACTTTAAAGAGATCTTTTGCAGCAGATTTGCCCAATGGAATATGTGATTTGATTTCTTGACTGCTGCTTCCATGGGCATTGATTGTGGATCCAAGTAAAATGAAATCCTTGACAACTTCAGTCTTTTCTCCATTTATCATGATGTTGCTTATTGGTCCAGTAGCAAGGATTGTTGTTTACTTTATGTTGAGGTGTAGTCCATACTGAAGGCTGTGGTCTTTGATCTTCATCAGTAAGTGCTTCAAGTCCTCTTCACTTTCAAAAAGCAAGGTTGTGTCATCCATATAACGCAGGTTGTTAATAAGTATTCCTCCAGTCCTCATGCTGCGTTCTTCACTGCTGCTTGATCTCTTTCACTCTGGTGACTGGTCCTTACCTTACAATTGGAGCAGAAACCCGTGGGATGAGTCGAGGTAATTACCCAATTACATTAGGTATAGGAGTTAAAATTTTTAAAATCACTGCTGTTGTAAACTGTCAGATTTTAACAAGAATGCTCTTGAAAATGAAAAGTGCCTGTTGAATATAAAGTTTTTTGTTTGTTTTTAAGTTAAACAGTATTTCACTGGGTTAAGCAGCACTTTACGTTAATTGCAGACCTCTTAAATGAATACACTCATTAAAGGAGATCCTTTGTGTTTTAGATTGTAAAAGTATTGTTAAAACCTTGTTGCTGTTGTGTGCCTTCGAGTCAATTCCGACTCATAGTGACCCTATAGGACAGAGTAGAGCTGCCCCAGAGGATTTCCTGGGCTGTAATCTTTACGGAAGCAGATTACCAGGTGTTTTCTCCCACTGAACGGCTGGTGGGTTAGCAGCCAAGAGCTTAACCATTGCATCACCAGGGCTCCTGGTTAAAACCTGAGCACTGCAAATGTGAAATTTTCTACTGGCTCTCATGAAAGACAAGTTTGGTGATATCCTTGTTTGAAATTGTTGCGTTTCCTGGTTAACTGCTAGCCAAGACTGACCCCTGATCTCTGAGAAACTAACATTTACGTGAACAGATACATAACAGCATGTGATGCCTTGTTGCTTTCAGCAGGGAGGAGAGAGCGATGGCTTTTTTCACCCAGAGGGCCAGCCCCACCGGCTTCCTCAGCCTCCAGAAGGGAGACAACCACCTGTCCGGAAGGTCACGCTGACCAAGGGGACCCTGCAGCAGCCACAGCACCCGCCAGTGGCCGCCCACATGCACCCAGCTATTCCTCCAGGGATCAAAAACATTCAAGGAATCCACCCAGCAAAGAAGGTACTGCTGAGTGTCTTGTCATCACTGTTAGAAACGTGAGGGCCGTGTTCTGTAGTCATTTAGATGTCCTGTTGGGTAAGAAAATTTAGTGTTTAAATGGGTTCTCTGATACGCAGTGCTTGGCACATAGCAGTGTTCAAATAAACAAACAAAAAATAAGCCATAATTTTATTTGTTCTGGTTTTGAAAACATGTTAAAATGTTCACAGTAGAGCTTTTCCTCTCATGACTTTTTTTAATGGTACAACTGCGGTAAATCACGCGTAAGCAAATGCTTGGTCGTTTGCCTGAAACTCTCAGCTGTTTACTGGGCCAGAATCGCTGCTTCCTTACGAGGTAGGGAGAACATGCGTACAACACTCAGACAGTAATGCTTTCCTTCCTCTGTTCATTAGTTCACTGTGTTTCGTAAGTGTAATGTCATGTGTCTCTTCACGGACGACTTCATGATTAGTATCCCCAATTTACAGATAGGATACCCAGGCTTTTGGAGGTTCAGTAATTTACTGAAGAAACGGGCTTTTCCTAGACCTCTAGGCTCAGAGTTATTGATGGTTGAGGGAATGTTTGTCCTTGTCTTAGCTCAGTCTGTTAGATAAGAAGCATGGGACCCTACCAGACCTCCTTTCTGTGGGAAGAAATGTTCTCTTTTTTGTGTGGTATATTTAAACTCTCCCCTACAAAAGGAGGGTTCATCTTGTCACGTTATAGATTAGTAGTGCAGCCGCCTTTCCACGTCTGGGGGAAGGACAGCTGAATGATAGCATCCCCGGCTGGTGCAGGAGCCACATATGCCTCATCTTGATGGATTCTGGCAAGGTAGAAAGAGGGGCAGCACTACCTTGCTTCGAGTTTCTGCCAGGAAGCCTTTGAAGTTTGCTGGCTCATCCTGTGTGGAAATCTTGGCGCTACTAGTAGTATTAATATTAGGACCAGATTTTTGGGGTCTTTTTTGAAGTATTTATATTGCTTTCTATATATTATCTAAGTAACACTTTATGATGTAGGAACAAACAAAATTCCATTTTTGCAGCGGCCGACCAGCGGTACAGACACATTAAGTGCTGTCTTCAGGTATAGTCTTTAAAGATTGTTCTTGTTTAAATTTTCTTTATTAAAGTGTTATCCCTGGATATATGATGAGAAAGACCTTAAAGAAATACACACACGTATATATGTAAATAAAGTGCCTGAGTGTCTTCATCTTAAACCTCAGTTTACTCTCCTGTAAAATGAGGATAATAATGTTCTCTGTTGTATTTGGGTGGTTGTGAGGATTCTGTAAGAAGATACATATAAAAAACATGGTATCTGACATACAAGTCTATGAAAAATACCAAATACCAAATGTATATAAGAAAGCTTTTGGTAGAAGGTATATAATTATTAATACTGTAACTGATTATAGTTACAATAGAAGAATATTTATTTACTACTGGATTTCCAGCCAGTGTAACTTGCAGCTTTTTATGTTTACCTCCAATATTGCTTCTGTGGAAATATCCCTTTGCACTTTTCAAAAATTTTCTTCACAGGGATAATTTTATCTTCTTCAGAGTATTAAGAAATGCTGTGATTTTGTAGTAGTTACCCTTTTTATTTTTGCCCATTCAAGTCCTAAAGTTAGATTTAGATTTCCATGTCATTTTCTCTATATCCTTTTGTGTGATGGACTGTCAGGGCATTTTTATCCCTTTCTGTCCAACTTCTAGGATATCTAGAAAACCTACAAAGTGCTAATCAATTCCACTCTAGCTTCTGTGTTGCATTATTGTCCGAAGCTGGAGAAGCTCTATTTTAGATAGAGCTCTTGGACACAGGTGCTTTGTCTTATTTCCTAATTAGGAGAAAATACCAGAACTGTCAGCTGTCTCCTCTTTTGTTAAAGATCCTGCAACAGTGGGTTTTTGAACCCTAGGCGACATTAAAAAATACTAATGTCTGGGGTGCACCTTCTTGTTGTCCGGTGCTGTCCAGTGGATTCCAGCTCATAGCGAACCTGCATATCACAGAATGAAACACTGCGTCATCCTGCGCCATCCTTGAAATAATTGCTACCCTTGAGCCCGTTGTTGCAGCCACTGTGTCATTCCATCTTGTTGAGAGTCTTCCTCTCTTTCGCTAGCCCTCTGCTTTACCAAGCATGATGTCCTTCTCCACAGATTGGTCCCTCTTGATAACACGTCCAAAGTACGTGAGATGAAGTCTCACTGTCCTTGCTTCTAAGGAACATTCCGGCTGTACTTCTTCCAAGGCAAATTTGTTCATTCTTCTGGCAGTCCATGGTATATTCAGTATTCTTCACCAGCACCATAACTCAAAGTCATCAGTTCTTCTTTGGTCTTCCTTATTCATTGTCCAGCTTTCACATGCACGTGAGACAACGGTAAACACCATGGCTTGGGTCAGGCTCGCCTTAGTCCTCAAGGTGACATCGTTGCTTTTTAACACTTTAAAGAAGTCTTTTGCAGCAGATTTGCCCGATGCAATACGTTGTTTGATTTCTTGACTGCTGCTTCCATGGGTGTTGATTGTGGAT